AAAGAAGAAATAAAACTGTCTTTTTGCAAGATAGCCTGGTAATTTATTTAGAAAATACAAGTATGTCTACAAGAACCTCCCCAGAAATGAGAAGAGGTTATAGCAAGCTTGCAGATACAAGGTTAACATGCGGATGCCCCTGACTTGGTGTGCACCGGCCCTGAACACGTGGAACTAGAAATTTAATGCAAGATACCACTTACAACAGCAACCCCGAAATGTAATGCTTTGATATAAGTCTAAAAAAATGTGTACAAGATCTATACCACCCCCCCAAACACTGTTAAAGAAATCAAAGAAGAACTGCAACAAGCCTGAGAGATACCCTTTCTTGTTCACGGGTGGCAAGACTCAGTGTTGTCAAGACGTCAGCTCTTCTTTCCGACTTCATCCTTAGATTCAAAGCCACCCCGAGTCAAGGCCCCGGGCTCCAAAGGGCACATGGAGAGCGAAGGCCCTGACAGTGGCCAGCACTGTATCAAAGGAGAAGAGCAGCAGCAGGACTAACGTGACCGACTTTGCATCTCCCTGTAACCTGGTCGTCGAGACAGGTGGTACTGGTGAACAAATAAACAGACTGATGGATGAAGCAGAGTAGAGAAACCAGGAATAAACTCACATAAATGCAGTCGTGATCTCTGGGGAAGGAGCAAGGAAAAGAAAATGAAAAGAAGCCGTTCTGTCCGGAGCGAACGGCTCTGGAACAAGGGCACCCCTGCCTGCAAGACACTGAATCTGGAGAGCGCCCTTGCACCCTTCACAACATTAACTCGAACATGGATCGCACACCTAAATGTAAAAAGCAAAATCACAAAACTTCTGGAAGATAACGCAGGAGGGAATCTAGCTGATGTCGACTTTGGCCACGGCTTTTTGATACAACCCGAAGGCATGGTCCACGGGAGAAGGAGTGGACAGGCTGGGTTTCGTTGAAATGACGGACTTCCGCTCCGCGAGAGGCAAGGTCAGGAGAGCAGGAGGCAAGTCACATGGGAGAAGGCATTCGCAAAAGGCAAACCTGATACGGGAAAAATTAGACAAAGACGCTTAAACCTGAACAACAAGAGAACAAACCACCCAGTTTCTAAGTGGCCACAGCCTCAGCCCCTCACTGAGGAGGGTGCTGCTCAGACGGCAGGTGAGCGAGTGGAAAGGGACACACACACGCACACACACACACACACACACACACACACGCACACACGCCATCGGCATCGCCCGTGGGGAAGGCTGTGCCCGGGGCGGGGAGGGGCCTGCGGAAAACCTGCGCCTGCTGCTCGGCTTTATCTCGAAGGTAAAACTGCTGTGGTCCCAGCCGGTGTGGCTGCGTGGGCTGGGCGTCCTCGTCCTGCCTCCAACGGAAAGGTCGCCGGCTGGACCCCTGGTCAGGGCGCGTGTCCGGGATGAGTCTTCAGTCCCTGACAGGGGAACGCAGGAGAGGTGACCGATCAATTTTTCTCTCTCACATTGACATTTCCCTCCCTTTTCTCTCTCTAAAAAATACCAACAAAAAACCAAAACCCAACCCGGCTCTAAAAACTCAAGTTTAATTAAAGAAACATCGCCCTCTGGCACCGTTGCAGGCGGGAGGGTCGGATCTGACGAAGGAAGGGCCGAAGCTGGATCTGACGGGTGTGGGGGGGGGGCAGGGGAGGCCCATGTGGCCAGACAGCGGGAGGAGGGGCTTCGGAGGTGGGAAGGCCAGATGGCCTTAGGTTGTTTGGAGCTAAGACTGGTTGCTTGAACTTTAAGATATTCGTTGATTTATCCAGCCATTTCTTCCTGTGTTTGCAACTTGTTTTTTCTTCTTTATCATGTTTCACAGACACAAATCCAAACCCTTTCCGCGTGTGGACCGAACTGGGGGGGGGAGAAAGGTGTTTGGTTCAGGTGTTAGTCGGGGGCTCTGCTGTGTGGTCTGGACTCCGAGGTCTGCAGGCGCAGAGAGTGAGGAGGAGACACAGCCGGGGGCGGGGCTCTCAGAAGTGCGTCCCCAGGGGCATGTTGCGTAAAGGGCACTGTCCCCTCACCCCACCCACACTTACGTCATCTTTTCCTAGAAAATGGACCGAAGCTGGTGTTCTGGAAATTCTAGGATTGGATCTGCAGTCACAATGAGTTCGTCCTTTCCGTCCATGACAGTTTTATTAACATAATAGCCGAACACGGATTTGGGGGCCAGAAGGGGTGTCCATCTGGGAGGGCATCTGAGCGGGGGTGACAGTCCTGTGCGCTCCAGGCGTCCTGAGGAAATAGACACACACAGGAGACAGGTCTGTCTGACCTTTAATGTTTACTCGCACTTCAAAAAGTGGATCTTGACATTTAAACCGTGGCTGCAAGGTGTGGAGTGAGAGTCACTGACGACCGTGGCTGCGGTCTCGAAGACACCAGGGAAGCGGTGAAAGGAGCAGCTTTTCATAGGTTGGGGGGGGGCGGCCAGAGGTGACGCGCATATTCTGACCCTCTTGTCCTGTGAAGAGACAAGGTGTGGGGACGGAGGTGAGGTGACAGCACCTGTGATCGCCGGCGGAGCTGGACCGCAGCGAAGGCAGGACAAAGACGGCTCGCGTGAAGCCCAGCTGCCTGGAGACCGCGCTGGGCGGGGGGCGCTCAGAGGAGGAAGGGCCTGCGGGACCCAAGTCGTAGGGGAGCCCTTCCTGGTGGGGACGCAGACACTGCTCCCAAGGGGACCCCACAGCAGGATGCAGTCACCCACAGCAGGAAGTGGGGACGCCCCCACACTGAAAGTGTCCAAGGCAAGGCCGCGCGCCTGTCTTTGGGGACACATTGTAGATCCCATGTCAGACCAGGGGGGCCCCTCCGCGTGGCCGTCAGGCCCACATCTGGACTCACTGTGGTGCTGTCTCTTAGCAGCTTGGGGGCCGGAAAGGCGGAGGGTCCTGCCCGGCGGTGTGGGGAGTCGGGCCGACCTCGTCTCGTCTCTGTCGGAACCAACAGCGGAGGGGTAAGGGGGTGAAGAGCAGAGAAGCGCCTTCCTACCGGCGCGGTTCCCGTAGCACTTTCGGAGGGGCACACCCTTCGGGACGGGGGACAGGGTGTCTCTCCTCCGAGACCTCCAACCACAGCGCGCCCACCCTCCGAACAGACCGGCGGTCCCGGAGGCAGGGCGCTTCTTTCCCACCGAGCGCACAGCCTGTTTTTGAGTTGGGTGCTCTCAATTCGTCCGTGATTCCTGGGCTTCAAAATCGGCCATGAAGCCAAGCCTTGTGACCTATCCCTCGATTCTGTCTTTTCATAGTAACACTGTCACGGAACATGCTTCGGGTGAAGTGTTGTGAGGACAGTCACACACGCAGTGGTCCATTTCCTAAGGAAGTTGTGAGAAGTCATTATGAAACATGGTAATTAACACACGCGCGGAAAACCACAGCAACATTAAGTATTGTACTTAAGGTTTTAGTGTAATAAATGTATCAGAACCAGTCAACATAGGTATTCGAAAAGCTGTTTGTGTGGGGACACAGGTGCTTAGATAAAATAGATAGAAAAACAGTGATTGAACCTGCAATCAGTGTGTGCTGACCGGGAATCGAACCGGTGACCCGTCAGTGCAGGGAAGGACCCTCAGCAGAGCGATCCCCGCAGCCAGGGCTGATCCGCCCCGTCGCAGGCCACCCCAGACTCTGCGCGTCCACACAGCCAGGGCGGACGGTCTGCTCGCCATCTGCGCTCAGGGGGCCGGCGGCGGCTCTTTCCTCATAGTACATAGTTAACCTTTTATCCAAACTTAATAACTTTTACATTAAACTTCTCCTGTTCTAGCCACCGTGTATGTTTCCATCTCCTGATGGGACTCAGACCGACACAGAGCTCGTTAGTTCTTTGCCAGCGTGTGGCGGGAGAAGAGAAAGTGGAGAAAGAAAGGGCCCTAAGTCAGGACGAGGTGAGGAAGGATTTGTCCGCGCCCAGCACAGCCCTGGGCAGGAGACGGGACTGCAAGTGGGAAGTGAGGACGGGCAACAAATGCCGCGGGCAGGCCATCCGTGGTTGGTGTCCTGACTGCGAGGTTTCTGGACAAAGTCGCCTGACATACACGTCTTTACGAAAACGGTGCTGGTGGGAGACGACGGGTGAGGATAAAGTCCAGGCAGCGCTGCGGAGTCTGGCGGCAGGTGGGGGTGGGGACTGGCTGGGGGGCCGAGGAAACCCGCACAGGGACACGCACGCAAGAACTGGGCCACGGCACACGCGTCGTCAAAGCAGGCAGTTCCTCCACTCTGGGCTGAGGCTCTGGGGAAGGTTTGTCCTTTTCAAATAATCGATAATACATTTCACATAACTTGTCCACCAGGAGCTGAACAAACACTTTTGCTCCTGAGGTGGAAATGTCATAACCTGACTGGAAAGGTGGGGGAGGATGAATTCTCCTTCAGAGAGAAGGAGACTATTTCAGGGAGCGTGCATAACGTGTTGGAAAACCTGATTCGCTGTCCTAAAATCCATGAAAAGTACTTTAAGAACGACTAGGATGAAAAACCCCCAAATATTAGGAAAGGAGGAAGGAATTGCACGATGGTGTGACGATGATGACGATGACAATGAAGAGGACATTAGTAGCAGTGAGTAGGAGTTTGTGTTGAACAGGAAATTTCTAAGAAGTTGAAAGAGCAAAGCAGTAAACACACATTTATAGGTCCGGTGGGTTTTGGTGGCGCGTCACGTCACGGCCACTTAGTGCAATTACGGAAGATGAAATTAGGGTCGCGTGAGCCCGGGCGCCAGAAATGGGACTTCCTTGTGCTTTGGGGCTGGAGAGCATGTCTAGGGTGGCGGTGAATAAGTCCCGGCGTCCTTGCCAATCGCTGTGCACAGAGTGAGCTCACTGGAGGCAAGCGGCCATAAAACGAGGGCACAGAGACCACGTGCGGTCTGACACACCCACCCCAGAGGGGCATATAAAGCTCCTGGGAGAGCAGGCGGCTCAGACTTCACAAGTGCCCTCCTGCCCCTCACCTGCATCCTCACCGCCTGATACCATGTGTGGCAACTACTACGGGGGCTGTGGCTACGGCTGCGGCTACGGCTCTGGAAAAGGCTGTGGCTATGGCTCTGGCTGTGGCTACGGCTGTGGTTATGGCTCTGGATATGGCTGTGGCTACGGCTCTGGCTACGGCTCTGGCTGTGGCTACAGCTGTGGTTATGGCTCTGGATATGGCTGTGGCTACGGCTGTGGCTACGGCTGTGGATATGGCTCCCGCTATGGCTGTGGCTATGGCTGTGGTTATGGCTCTGGCTGTGGCTACGGCTGTGGGTACGGCTCCCACTATGGCTGTGGCTATGGCTCCGGTTGCTACTAGCCATTTTTCTACAGAGTCCTTTTGCTACTAAGCATCACTCCAGGTTCAAGTCGAAGCCCAAGTGAAGCCCTCTATCTGTGGATTTCACACCAAAGTAGAGAATTAGCATGTCTGTCGGAAACCTGATTTAACTTCGAGGAAGCTCCTTGGCGTTGGGGACTGCACAGTTCGACCTCATCCCTGGAGACGGAAGATCTTATTGGGGTCATTTTTTCAATGTAAATTCTCATATGTTTTTCTGTCTCTGTACCATGGCTGTTTGTGCAGCAGAGGGCTGAGCACTTGGGGTGCACAAAAATGGAGCAAAAATAGCAGTTTCTTAATAAAAGGCTTTCTTTCCTACCAAGTCTGGTGTCCTCTGTGTCAGGGTCATCAGCGACTCCGGGGCCAGTGACCGTCTCAGGATAAGTCGCGTGTTTTTGTTGGTGGAACTCAAATACCGGTTCCTTTCCACTTATGAACCCACACATGTATGTTCGCTTACTGCCCTGTAGCTAAGTATTGACACGAGTGTTGCACTGTGCGTCTCGTGTGGGTGAAGGGGTGGGACGGGGAGGTCCGCGGGAAGGACCGCATGCTGGGCTGGGACGGAGCGACTGGTTTGCATCTCGGTAACAAAGGGGCAGCACCGTTAGCTGTATCGTCCTTTGAAATGGGAACCAGAACTTCAGAGCAAGCAGACCAAGGGCATTACCGCCGCTCTCGGGAATCAGCGAGGACCAGGGCCCTTCTTCCTGTCCCCGCTCGTGCCGTGTGACTGCCACACTGAGAGTGGCAAAGTGGACGCTGTGTGTGGCCAACCTCAGGCTGTTGATTCCGGTAGAAAAAGGGAGAAAGAACAGCGTCAGCCCTTTTTAAGAAACTTGGGTCTTCTTACGGGGGAAGGACAGTGCGGCACGAAAGATGCCACCTGCCCCCCACCCCCCGGCCATGGGCTGAGGGAGGGTTGGTCAGCCGGCTCGTGCGTCCCAGTCCCATCGGCCTGGGGTGTCAGGGGAGAAGAGAAAGGCGGGGAGAGTGGCCACTCGGGCCAAGGGTCAGATGTCTTCACAGCTCTCGGAGCCTGGGCAGGGGCCAGTGGGGCGTTCTCGTGGACCTTGTCCCCGGGGCAGAGTTGAGCTTATCCTCCCGTTTGTGCCACACGGACCCATCTGGGGTTCTCTTCTGTGTTTCGTTAGTTTTTTTTCGCTCAGCATTTTAACTTTCACTTTGGCCAGCATCTCATCTCCATTCTCCTGCCGGTCACTTGCGGTCACTCATGACCTGGGTTATTGTGTATGTGCCCATCTCAGTTCATTCCACCGGCATTCCGAGAGGCGGTCGCGTGCTGCATGTTTTTAGTTTATATAGATCGTATTATTACGTATCTTTTCAAAAGATTTTTTTCACTGGGAATGACTTGCGTCAAAAGGTCCATCCACCCCGCTCTGTATCCCTTTGGTTCGCTGTTCCTGCGGCCGCCTGGCGCTCCACGTGGCTCCATGTGGCCCGCATCCAGACCGCTGTTCACTCCCCGTCCACGTGACCCCCCCTCTTGACCAGCTCCAGCCCCCTGCACCTCCACATGGCTGCCGTGGGCACACGTTCCCACGTGGGCTTTTGTGAGAATCAACCCAGGCTCTGAATCCCAGAACAGACGGCGTGTGCGTGCTCCTTGTGGCCGAATACAGCCGTGTCGTCTCTGGGTGTCCGCGCCGACCGTGCGCTGGGACCGCGGGTTTGCTGTCCTTGTACGTGGGCCGGGCCTGGCGTCCTCTGACCTTCTCAAGTTCGCTTGTTTGGTTAAGTGAAGAGCGAGGCCATCTTGCTTTAATTTCCATTTCTTTGATCCCTAATAAATTTAAATAATTATTTGGTCACCTGTGTCCTAAATTTCGTTTTCTCTCGCATGTCCTCACTCCATTTCTCCACGGGGGCTTTTGTCTCCTTCTCATGGATTTTAGGGCTTCCTGGTCCATTCTGGACATTATTGCCATGTCACCTGTAGGCATCGCCAGTGACATCTTCCTCACTGTTATTTGTTTATCTTTGTCCTTGTGTGCTTAACAGAACATAGGATTTTAACCCTATGATTTGTGATTTTGTAGTTTTGTTAAGAATCTGCACCCTACTTTTGTGTCAAAGCCATCCTGCATTTTCTTCAGTTAACTGTAAAGTTCTGCATTTTCATTTGGGTCATTAGTTCACAGGGAGCTCGTTTGGGTGCGGGGCCCCGGCTGCATCTCACCCCCCTGAGCCCGTCTCCCCGACAGCGACTGTCGGCGGCTCGTCCTCTGTCAGAGGCGCTGGCGCACGTTTATGGCGCTTTAGTTCTTTACACGTCGTCTCCAGCTCTGGGCCGTGTTCTCTCTGCACTCGTGTCTCTGCCTGTGTTTCACACGAAGAGAAGCGGGTTTATTCTGCTTTGTGTTTCCACCGAAGAGAACTAGGTCCGATGTGCAGAGTCCAAAGGCAAAGAGAGTCCACAGGGAGGAGCTTCTCTGGGGGGCGGGGTGGGTGGAGGCGGAATTGGCCGAGTGTTGGTGCCTGTGCTGTGGTGGTTCGGGGGGAGGGCCCTTGACCTCTCCACCTACCGGAAGCGCCTGAGTACAGCAGGACACTCAGGACAGGGGTCCAGTTCATTGACCCACGCCCTTCGCTTGTACTTCAATGTTCCCTGGTCCTGTACGTACGCACGCAGGGGTGTCCGCCCATGAGGCCCAGGATGGCTGTGAACGTGCCCACCACAAAACTGTAAATTTACTTAAAACATCGGGGTTTTTGTTTTTGTTAGTGTTTGTGTGTTTAACGTGTGGCCCAAGATACCTCCTCCTCCAGTGTGGCCCGGAGACGCCTTGGGGTCGGACGGCACTGAAATGACAATTTAAAGTGGTACCCAGGCCGCCTGGACCAGGAGGGTGTGGCCTGGGAAGCCATAAAAGCAACACCTGGTTCTACAGAGGAAGGAGAGGCGCGTTACATTGAGGGGCACTTTGAGGCGCCCCACTTGCTTGGTGAGGTCCGTGTTTCCAGTTTCTGGGAATCAGCGCCGAGCGTGACCCCTGAGCCGGGGAAAGGGACCAGGTCCGGGAAAGCCTGTGCGGAAGGGCCTGTGGGCGTGGCCTGAGCTCCAAGTGGCAGTGACCAGTCTGGTCCAGCCCTGGCAGGGACCCTGGGATGTCCTCATGATGAGAGATGGTGAGCAATACTCACTCAGGTCCTTGGGTACCAGACATGTCATTACCATGACCACCATGATGGGCTTCGGACTGGAGTGTGATCACGTTGAAGGGCGTTGCCCGTTGCTGATTAGTGGCTTTGTTATTGTGGTCTGGGAGCAGAGCCACTCCTTAAAACTCAGTTTCCTCACGTGGGAACGCGCGTACAATGTCTTACCGATACTGCGGGATGGCTCAGATGTAATAAAATTTTCAAAGGCAATTTGCACAGCGTGAACCATTGTAACAAACTTGTTGGAATAAAATTCTCTGCTCTTGGGGAGGCTGCAAAGAGAAAGCAGTAATCAGAGCTTTGAGAAATTAATTAATACGCTCATTCGTACGACTCTGTAAGACGCAGATCCTGTAATTAGAGACACTGTAGATGTTTTGTAATCAACACTTACATTCACTTAAATCTCCAGTTGCAAGATTTGAAGTGCTGAATGTATTTAAAAGTAGCCATGCTCTCAGACATAATCTGTTTCTCTGGGAGGCGAATCTTCTGGTGGCACCCAAATTTGAAACAAGAACCTCAGCGGCTTTCCATATTGAAAAAAAAGAATGCTTTCATGTCGAAAGTTTTATGGCTACAAAGTGGATGTTACCCATAATTACTGAAATAAGTGTGTGTTTTCGTGCCAAAGCCTAGGGAGTCGACAAAGGTTTCCCAGCTACAGTTTGTTGTGCAAAGTGCTTCAGTCGTAATATAGTTAGTTTACTATTAGGACAATTAATTTTGTCAGAACTTGGTTTTATTCACTTGCTTCATTAACATTCAATTAATGGAAACTGAATAAATGCATGGAGTGTGCATTATGATCACAAACACTTCTAATGATGCTTATTTAGCTTAAGGATATTTCCTAAGTTCGTATAGCTCATACGTGGGCAGCCGGGATCCTGACCCAGGTCCCTGGGAGCTTCCCTGGGAGGGAGCCGTCCGAGCTCGGGCGTGAGACACGCGGGGCCCGGTGGCCCTTAGAACTGGGTCCCAGACAGAGTGGGGCGGGCGTGGTCTGGGTTCCATGACGAGGGGCAAATGCCACTCCAGTGGCTGTATCTTAGGGGACAATGAAGAACCTAGAAAGATTTTGTAGTATCAAAAGTGTGATGAAACACTGTAACATATTTAGGTCTAATTTTGCATTAAAATTTTCCAGGGAGATAGGAAGTCCTGGAAATGGGACAGACAGCTTACGAAGACCTGCTTCAGCCTCGGGGTGGCCGCAGGAGAAGGGGCCGTCAGCGCCGAGCAAAGAGGACTCCGCGGGAGAAAGGTCGGCAACGCCAGCACTGCAGCCAAGGCCGACCCGAGAGGCTTGGAGAGTGAGGCAGAAAAGCACTCCTGGGCGGGGTCTTTGGAAGGCAGGAGAGACGGCACCGGTAACCTGAGAGTTAAATTTGCTCTGGGAGACTTGACGTGCAGCAAGGGTTTAAATCAATGTAAGTAGACACGGCGCACAAGTACCCATTTTGTCATGGAGATTTATTACTGGGATGTATTTCGAGGTAAATAGATTTCTGCTATGGTAATGCAAATATTTTCTGAGATCCATGCCACATGGCCAGCAAAACTCAGACATTCTTTTTTTATTTTGTTTTTTAATTTTTTTATTGTTGTTCCATTACGGCTGTCCCCATTTTACCCCATTCCTCTCCCTTGCCCCCCATCCCCTCCCACACTCAGTCCCCGCCCCCTGTTGTCTTGTCCGTGGGTCCTTCCTACATGTTCCTTGATGACGCTTCCCCTTCTTTGCGCTATTATCCCCCGCCCCACTCCCCTCTCGTCCCTGTCCGTTT